AAAATTAGCCAGGCATGGGGGCAGGCACCTGTGATCCCAGCTACTTGGGAGGCTGAAGCAGGAGAATGGCTTGAACCCAGGAGGCAGAGGTTGCAGTGAGCCACTATAGCCTGGGCGACAGGGTGACACTCCATCTTAAAAAAACAAAAAGAATATGAACTCCGTATACTCTTCCCCTAGATCCACCAATAAACATTTTGCTGCTGTTTCTTTCTACCTATCTATATAGCATATATTTTGCTAAACCGTTGCAAGTAAGTTGCAGACATCTTGAACTTCACATCTAAATACTTCAGCAAGCATGTTTTAAGAATAAGAAGCCAGACCTGGTGCAGTGGCTCACACCTGTAATCCCAACACTTTGAGAGGCTGAGGCAGGAGGATTGCTTGAGCCCATAATTTGAGACCAGCCTAAGCAATATAGTGAGACCCTGTCTCTACAAAAAATAAAAAATTAGCCAAGACAATTAGTTTCTGTTGTTTAAGTCACCCACTTTGTGGTGCAATTTTGTCAAAAATGTGACTTGGCAGGGTAGCGTAGCTCACGCCTGTAATCTCAGCACTTTGGGAGGCTGAGGTGGGGGGATGACTTAAGGCCAGGAATTTGAGACCAGCCTGCACCACATGGTGTGACCCTGTTGTGCTGTCACTCAGGCTGGACTGCAGTGGTGCAATCATAGGTCATTGTAGTTTTGAATTACTGGGCTCAAGTGATCATCCTGCCTCAGCATCCCAACTAGCTGGGATTACAGGCCGGTGCGTGGTGGCTTCTTTTTTTTTTTTTATTACGTTGCCCAGGTTGGTCTTGAACTCCTGGCTTCAAGTGACCCTCTGGCCTTGGCCTCCCAAAAGTCCTGGGACCACAGGGGTGAGCCACTGCACCTAATCTAGATTAAACTTTTTATTTATTTGTTTGTTTATTTTTCCATTGCCCCAAGATTAAACTTTTTAAGTTAAGAATATTACTTAGCTGGTGTTATTTTAAATTTATTTTAATTACAACAATACACAAAACTTTTTGTAAAAGAAATTAGGCGGCCAGGCGCAGTGGCTCACTCCTGTAATCCCA